ACATGCCTTACATGCCGCATGCCACACTCTTTTATCATCTCATTGAATGGGACAGGGCAGGGCAGGGGCAGCAGCTGTTAACACATTGAGTGCTGGAAATTTTACACCCTCTAACAAGGGGGCGGGAAAAAATGTACACAAAATCTGTGGAAAATATAAAGAAAATCATGTCTAAAAATAAGCAGATATATTAAGATATGTTAAGGCAGCAGATGGAGAGATGTGCAAAAAGCAGCAGGAAGGAAGCAGCAGCAGCAGGCAGCAGGAGAAAGCGGTGCAAGTGGCATGTGTAGTGCTGGACAATGCGGCGTATACGTGATGTGTGGAGTGGGTTGTGGAATGGCCAGTGGAGTGGACATTCGTTCAAGCCGTTTTGTCCCCACTCAAGGCTCCAGCTCCAGGTCCAGCTCTCGGCTGATAATAATGCACCTTCAAGAGGCAGAGAAAAACAGAAGAAAATCCAAAGAAAAGAAGCACGGAAAAACAGTAGAAGAAGCCAAGAAAAGAAGCACGGAAAAACAGTAGAAAAAGCCAAGAAAAAGTTAAGGTTTTCCTCAGGTATAAAACTGAGTAGAGCCAGAAATAGAAATGAAGAAAGAATCACAAGTGGAATTCAAAGCAGAAGAAGAAGTGAACGGGAACGGGACTGGGGATGGGGATGGCAATTCCTGCCTCAACTTTGACATTCTCTTCCTCTATTTCTGTGTGTGTGTGTGTGGGTGTGTGTGTGTGTTTGTGGCACACACAATGGCATGTGGCATGTCCCAATGGCATGTGGCAGTCACTGTTCTACGTGTGGGCGTGGCAGAGTCCGTCCAACTTGTTTTCTGCCGCAAAATGATTTATGACAATGCATTGAAAAGTTCTCTCTCTCTCTCTCTCTCTCTCTCTCTCTGTCTCCAGGCTGTCAAAAAGGGACATGGCAGTGGGAAGAGGATATGAGATAGAGCTGTTAGAGAGTGGGGAAGAGAGAGGGAGAGAGAGGAGAAGGAGAGCTGTCAATAGCTGCAGGTGGTGGGGAGGGTGTGAGCATCTATTAAAGTGATGAAAGTGAAGCCTGCTCGCCCCCATTTTGTGTCACTTATCTGATTTTCAATTTGCGAATAGAAATTGTTTAAGGCCTCGCAGCAGCAGCAGCAGCGGCGACAGCGAGAGAAGGACTCGAGGCCGGTAGGCAGACAGCCAGCCAAATGCCAATAAGTTGTCATGTGCCGACAACAGCTGCAACACACATATCCCCGCCCAGCCTGCCGCCACACATACATCCTGGTGGCATCTTCCCGCATCTCAATTTCTGCTTTAAGCCACTTATACGTCTTACCGCCCCACACCGCCAGAGAGAGAAGGGGAGAGAGAGAGAAGGAGAAGTAGAATTTGCTACCCGAAAGGAGCCGCGTAAGAGTTGCAGCGCCCGCAGGCTCCTCCTGCCTCCTGTCCCAGGGAGCCACTGTGTTTCTTGCTCTTCTGAGGCTGTGGTGTGTGTTGTAGTGTGTGAAGGTGCCCAAGCACGTCTCTCATATGCCACAAGCCGTTGCACGCTGACACATTAATGTCCGCAAAATGTTACACCCAGAAATACACACACGAGGGACAGAAATAAAGGGAGAGAGAGAGAGAGAAATATTCACCCGCATGTGTACACCTGTCCACCTGTAATGGTTCCTTCTCCCATCCCTCCCCCTTCCCCATACACGCACCCGCACACTTTCTTCTACCCAAAGAAACCCACAAAACTATCCCCACATCCCACACACCTCACACATCCCGCCACACATACGAGTATTCCACATTTCCTTTTCCTCTTGTCGTATTTGTCTTATGAACTGTCAAACTGACATTCATTGAAGTCTGACATGTAATAAACGAAACGAAATGGAATGGAATGGAATGAAATGAATTGAGGATGGAACGGAAATAAGCAGCACAGAGGTAAAGAGCAGAGAGGCAGAGAAATATGATTTTTTTCAACAATGAATTGTCGTGGACCCTTCCGCATATATTTTTGCCACTCTGATTCCATCTCTCTTTTTTACCGCTTCTCCTGATTTTCCTATCTTTCCCTAGATTTTCTACATGTTGGTTCTCTTTTTTTCCCTATATTTTCTCTCCCCATTCTCATGCATTTAATTAAATTAATTAAATCTGCAGCAAAAAAATCGACATCGCGTTTTTTACACCAACTTTCGTAGTACGGAAAATGTATATGTGTGTGTATGTATATAAATTAAAGGGAAATTTAAAGCAAAGTCTATAGTTTTCCTACTTTCTGCATTTCTGATTATTTTCTCATTCTCATTGAAATTCCATTAGCTGCAAAAATTCCATTCTGAAAAACCACGAAAACTAACAAAGCAGTTGGATGGCAGTGAAATGTACTCACTACAGCAAAGGACTCGCCAAATTCGAATCCCAATCTGATTCAGGTGGAAACATTTTTAGGGATGAGGCAGGCAGACGGCAGACGGCAGACAGGCGGGGACGAAGGGCAGAGGCTCTGCTGCACAATGCATACAATAATGAGTTTGGGGAAATGCAAATAATTCGCCATGGAAATCATTATTGAGCACTGAACCAGAGAGAGGGAGAGACGACAGCCAGCAGGCCAGAGGAGGAGAAGCAGCAGCAGCAGAGCAGCCCTGGTTCCAGCGGTCATCATTTGGGGATTGGGGATGGCCAAGAGAAAAACTCCTTCTGTGGACTTTTGTTGCACAAACAGCAGTCGACAGCCGGCCCCCCCCAGAGGGACCTCCCGTTGCAGCAAAAATGTGGATACATTTGGGGCGTTGCAAAGAGTAAAATAGCTAAAGAAAATGTCAAAAAATCAGAGTCCAGGCACCAGCAGCAGCAGCAGGAGAAAGCCTCCTGGGTGGGAGTGGTGTGGAGTGGGGAGAGGCATAGCTATAACCGTTAACCGATTTCCCAGTTTCGCCTGTTTAATGAAGTGTTTCCAAAATGTACGAGATTCACGTGCAAATTTATTGCACTCCCCCAAGAGCAAGGACCAACCCAACTTGATGGGACACGAAAGAAATCGAAGCAAAAGGGAAAGACAGAAAATACGGAAAGAAAATCCACTTTGAGGGCTGCTTGGGGAATCAATCTCCCTCACATGGGGAGCAAGGAGGTGGGAAAGGGGCATGCCTCTCTGCTGATTGGATGACATGGAATAAAAACGTTGCACACACAAAACAGAAGAAAATTGTTAATGCCACATGCACTGGTCTCCCCTCTTCATGCCGACCATCCTCGCCCTGGACTAAGCCAATTAAATGGATACCTTCAGCCCCACAGCCTACTCCTCTCCCTCCTCGAACTCCACCTCAAGCTTCAGTTCGCCCAAAAAGAGGAGAAAACAAAAGGACAATAAAGGGATTGCTCGTAAATGCCATCACAGAAGCAGGAAGAGAGAGACCAGAAAAAGAAGCTTAGCTAAGCAACACTGGGAGAGAGAGGGAACGGAACTCGCTCTCCTGTTCCCCTGTTGATGCTGCTGCCACGTGCGTTTCCTTTTCAATAAACCGCACACACACACAAAAAGGCAACAAAAAAAAAAAAAACACCAAAGAGCGTACAAAATTCTTTGCATACTTTTCTGGGACTCACTCAAGTGGCAAGCCACAAAACGACAACAGCAACAGCAACGACAGTGGCAGTGGCAGCAATGGCAATGTGGCATCAGTGGCAGCAATGGCTGTGTGGCTGTGTGGCTGTGTGGCTGTGTGGCAGCCACAGCACTTGATGAGCTTTCCAATTACATTTAGCTGTTGCCCTGTTAACTGTTTTCTCTGCCTTGCTGTCTGTCTGTGGCAGGATAAGGAATTAACTGCCGCCATCGTAAAAGCCAAATACATATACAACAGGAGCAAAAAGAAGAAGGCGCTGCAGCTGAAAGCAGCCTAGCCTCTAAGTAGTAGTCGAGGCTATTGATACCCTGGAAGAAGGGACAGCAGGATCTTAACTATTTGTCCCTGGATCTGATCTGTGAGGCTCTTTCATGGGTATAGAACTTTTAGGGTATCAAAATGGCTATCCTGCAATTCAAATGGCCACTCTTTGGGCTCTTGGTCGCAGTTTCTGCTGCTCTCTAGTTTCAATCACAAGTCGCCATCTGATTCCAAGTCTCGTGTGTGTGCGGCACCATAAAAATTATCATAAGTTTTCCCCCCTCGAAAGCACGGCACCTCCCTAATGAAAATCAGGGATAAACGTACAGTGGAGTACAGTGGAAAGCGACTGCTGTCAGCAGGTGAGTGTCAATTGGATGCCAATGGAAAAAAGCCAACGAAAGAGCTAATGAAAAGCTGCTTAAACTCGGTAGATAAGTAAATGAAATGAAAGCTAAATGAAATGAGAAAATAGTTGAGAATGCAGCAGCAGAAGGCAGCAACGCAAGAGGATTCCATGCACTTCACAGTTTATCTAAAGGCTGCCATAAAATCTGGTTTAAAGTGCCTTAAAATTCTATTTAAAGTACTGGCTTAAAACTGAAAGAATATATCGAAATGTACAGAGCTAGCAAGTAGTATTTTATGTAGATATATTATGCCTCCCAATCACAACAAGACCTGCACAAAAAAAGTGTCTGCAAATGAGCAGAGCAAAGCCCAAAAAAGGGCTTGCAAAGGGCAAAGCTTAGCTATCTCTTGAGCAAAAGCCCACGCATACATACATAATAAATACCTACATATGCATGAACATATTCAAAGGAAAGCTTTTAGGAGCCTGCGATCGACCAAACAGATTAAAAAACTAGAGGAAAAAATAGGACACTGAGCAAAAACAGAATTTAATGTTTCTTTTTTGTCCCTAAAATAACTGATAATTTCTTTTCGTTTTCGGACACGCTGAAAGTGTTGAAAGTCGCGCTCAATAAATACCACAAACCCCACAATTTCGCTCAAAGTAAATGAAAAATCTTCTCTCAATCCAATCCAGTTCTAGATTGTCCCCCACAAGTAACCTTCTGCCGAAAAGTCTAAGCCTTAATCCTATTTAAAATCATTTCATTTCATATTCTCCAAGCGAAACAAACCGAAACGATTGGCATTCCAAATACTCGATAAATTATTTGTAGATATTTTTTTCTCGGATTAAAATGGCAACGAATCAGCCAAGCAAACGTCAAAAAGGTGGTGCATGCTGTATGCCACCACCACCACCATGTTGTCCGCCATGTCCGCCACGGTATGTACAGGCTACAGGCCACGCCACTCTGGCCATCTGCTTATCTATGTTTCGTCTTTTTGTTTCCATCCCTTGTTTTGCCATTCCAGCGAACGCCTCGTTCATTTGACGGACGTCAGTCCCTGCTCTACGCTAATGTGCAAGCACTTTGGCGGCCACGATGATCCCTTTTATCCGCCCTTCGATGCCAAGGAATGTGCGCGAATGCGTCGCGGCGACTACGACAGATCCTTGGGCTATCCCATCGGTGTGGTGGCCGGCAGTTCTGCGGTGAGGACGGGCATCGCCAATCAGGAGAGCGTGCGCTTTGCGGGCAATCTGAAGGGATTCGCCCACAGCTACTATACGCGACGGGACGAATGGCTGCCGGAGATGATCGATCAGATTGTCGCCGAGGGTCAGGTGCTGTTCAGCGATTCCGAGGGCATGGATAATGCCAACGAATCGGTGAATCCCGAGATCTACGACGAGAATGAGCAGCGCGTGACGCGCCACTTCAAGATCAACGACATCGAATTCGCCATGGAACTGGAGGCGTCCATCGAGATGCCCGGCTATCCGAATACCCTGAAGAATCTGCGCAGAATTATGCGCGCGTTCTTCAAGCATGTGAAATATGGCATCTTCTGGACACCCAATTGGTATCTGTTGATCTGGAAGGAGAAGGGCATTTGGATGGTACTCGATCTCAATGGACGCGACACGGACACACTGAAAGCGAATCACGACAATGGCTATCCCGTGCTCCTGGCCTTCAAGTCGCTGGATAATGTCATTTGGCTGATCAAAAAGGAGAGTAATCTGGAGAAGACGGACAAGTTTACGCTGCGGGAGATCATTGTGGTGCGCCTGGTCACACCGGGCGCCGAGGGACGGTCCTTCGATCGAGAGCATGGCGTGAGAATGAGCGAATTTGATGTGATTGCCTCCGATTATGCGTATGTGCAATCGAATCTACATCTCACGCTCAATCCAAAGGATGCTCTGCGCAATCGCAGTGCCCTGCCGGTGGCCGTGGCCAGTGCCTTGGCCTCGAAAATCGATCATCCCGCCACTTGGGATCAGAAAATGTACGACAAGGTCATGTGCTATGGCGTCAACATGTGCAAGAATTGCTGGGAGCCCTGCAACGATCTGAGTCAACCGATGGACCTCGACTCGTTCCCGCGCCAGATCCGCATGGGCCAGTTCGTGGCCGAAATTCTGCTCTCGCCCAACCTCTTTGAGGGGTGGTGGAAGTGCGTGCCAATGTATAAATTCAATGACTTTCATCTGATGCTGGAGAAGGCCTTGGAGCAGAACGACTACGTCATCTTTCAGATCAACAATCAGATGTATTCGCTGTGGCGGAAGGGGGACTTCATCTACCTGATGGATCCCTATCGGCATCACATTGTCGGCCGCATACTGGAGGAGGGCGAGGACCCCAAGAGTGCCTCGGTGCGCATGTTCGGCAACATCGATCGCCTGCTGAGTGTCTTCCATCAGATACTCTTGGAGTCGAATCGTTCGGCCATCTTTCACATTCACGGCCTGAAGATCCGCAACATCACAGAGTGTCCGCCGGGCACGGCGCCGGCTCTCCTGCCCGCCGACCAGGATGTGGAGGTGGCTTCCCTCAATGAGAACATTCGCTTCGATGAGAACTACGACAAGTGTATGGAGGAGCTGGGCGAGATCAGTGACTATGAGGAGGATCTGGCCTCGGAGATTGAGCCAATTGTGGAGATTAGCTCCTCGGAGGAGATGGTCGAGGAGGAGGAGGGCGGCGAGGAAGGCGGTGGCGGCGAGGGCGATGAGGATGACGAGGATGAGGATTAGAAATTATTTGTAAAACATTTTTGATGCATAAATTTCAGTAAAAATGTTCCGATTTCCGAGATTATCGCGGTTATCGATTAATTATTAATCGATTTAAAAAAAAAAACTGAATTAATCCTTGGGGTGGGTGTATTTCGTTTGAATACTTCAAAATCGATAGCAGCTACCTATTCTATTTCTAAATCCCATAGTTATCGATATTTTGTATCCCTTTTGGCTTTGATTCTTCCTTCAATATACGGGGAAAAATGTTTTAAAAAAATGCTACGAAAGTTGTATAAATATCATCATCAAAAGAATGCCAACAAGATCGTGCTTCAGCGATGGCATCGACAGCTGCACAAGATCCCCGAACATTTGCAGCAAGTGGAGACCGAAAAGGATCCCGAATTCTCATCGATGATCATGTTCTACTACCACAAGGCCGCACAGCTGCTGGAGAAGGAACTGATCCGCCAAATGGATGTCTACACGTACATGACACCCGAACAGAAGGCGCAGAGAGTGGAGGGAATCCTGCAGAGGATCGGCAGTGTGAATACCGCCCTGGAGGTGACTTTCAGCATCAAACGGCAGAATGAGTACGAAGTGATAACGGGGTATCGGGCGCACCATTCGCTGCATCGATTGCCCCTCAAGGGAGGCATTCGGTATGCCACCGATGTGACGGGCAGCGAGGTGAAGGCCCTGGCCGCCATCATGTCCTTCAAGTGCGCGTGCGTGAACATACCCTTTGGGGGCTCCAAGGGTGGCATTTGCATCGATCCCAAGCGATATTCCTCCGATGAGCTGCAGACCATCACGCGCCGCTACACGATGGAGCTGCTCAAGCGGAACATGATTGGTCCTGGCGTGGATGTGCCGGCGCCGGATGTGAACACCAGCGGCCGGGAGATGGCTTGGATGGAGGACCAGTATAGCAAGACCTTCGGCTTCAAGGACATCAGCGCCAAGGCCATTGTGACGGGCAAACCGCTGCACACGGGCGGCGTACGGGGACGCGAATCGGCCACGGGACGAGGCGTCTGGAAATCGGCGGATATCTTTCTGCAGGACAAGGATTGGATGGATCAATTGGGCTGGCAGACGGGTTGGCAGGACAAGCGGATTGTCATCCAGGGATTCGGCAATGTGGGCTCCTTTGCCGCCAAATTTGTCTTTGAGGCAGGCGGGAAAATTGTGGGCATCAAGGAATGGGATGTGTCAATCACCAATACCGAGGGCATCGACATTGAAGTGAGTTCAAGTTTGCACGCACACGATCCCTGAAGATCCCTCCTGACATTCCTCTTTTCCTAGGATCTTTTGGCTTATAGAGACCAAAATGATAGCATCAAAGGTTATCCCAAAGCGCAGGAATCGAAGGAGGATCTGCTGATCGCCGATTGTGACATTTTGATACCGTGTGCCACACAAAAGGTCATCACCAGCGAGAATGCCAAGGACATCAGGGCAAAGTTTATACTGGAGGGAGCCAATGGACCCACGACCCCAGCCGCTGAGAAAATTCTCATCGATCGTGGGGTTCTCATTCTGCCCGATATGTTCTGCAATGCGGGCGGGGTGACGGTCTCGTACTTTGAGTATCTGACGAACATTAATCATGTGTCCTATGGCAGGATGAGTGCCAAACGCATCTCCCAGACCATCAATGCGCTGTTCGATTCGATTAATGAGTCCCTGAGCAAATGCAACATTAAATGTGTGAGTTTTTATTGCAGTATACTCAACGATCGATATATTCCTTTGATCTGTCAGATATAATCCTTGATCCCTGTAGCCCCACATTGAGCCCAGCGAGCGACTGAAACGGTTCCGTGATGCCCGCGAGGAGGATATTATCGATGCTGCCCTGCAAACTGTCATGGAAATGTCCGCTCTGGGCATCAAGAAGACTGCCATTAAATTTAATATCCGCAAAGATCTACGAACGGCTGCCTATATCTGGTCTACCTCTAAGATTTTTCAGGTGATGGATGGTTCGGGAATGTGGTGGTAAATCATTTCAAATGTAGATAAATCAATCGAATATCGTTGTTATCGATAACAAAAAAAAATACTAAGTATAAATTCCATGGGACCTACAGCCTCCTGTATCTCCCCCTTCTTCCTTCTTTTTCCACATTTTCTTAACAAGCGAAACACTAAAAAAAAAAAAAAACATGTAGGTTAGAGGGAAAACAGCGAGCGAGGGCGAGGAAAACATAGAAGAAAAAAATCGTGGAAAACAGCAAGCGAAATGAAGGAGAGGAGAAAGCGGTGTGGAAAACAGTGCGGGGTACAGTACCCCTCCCACGGGGTGCAAAAACATTTTGAATTAAATGTCACGTTTTGCTGGGCGTAAAGTCGCTTGTTCCATCGTGCGACAAACAATGAGAGGCAACAACGAGAGCGACAACGACGACACCGACACCCCGACAACTGACTGATGGCGACTAAAATAGTAGTAGCATCCCAGCCCAAGATCCATATGAGCATGGTGAGGGGGGGACTGAATGGGATGCCACTCCATGGTATTGCCACCCCGCACGACAAGCGTAGGGCGTGGTCCACGTATGTCATTAAAAGTAGCACCCGAAACAACAACAAAAAAAAAAAGAGAGTACAAGAAAAAAAAAAAAGGAAACAACGAAGAGTAGCAACATTAGATACACTTTCCTTCAGCAGATACATTATTTTCTAGGTTAATTTCAAAGATACATCCTTCATGGGGTTCCCTTAAAGATACATAGGGGGTACGTACCCCTGCAAAATAGATCATTTTAAGGCATCAAACTTTCACGAACTTCTGTAACTTATGATATGCTCATGATGCCCCTTTACAGGGTACAGAAAACCCGCACCCATGCGCGCTTGTTAGTGGATGCTGAAGGCCCCACTGTCTGCTCTCTTTCTCCTCGCCATCCCTCTCACTGCACTTGTTCCACGGGAGAGGCATCAGTCACTTAGACAGCGGGGGGGAGGATTGTTACCGTGTGCCGTCACTGCCTCTCCTTCTCTCCCTCTGACGTTCTGTGGTACATCCTCTGCTACACCACCCAACCATCGCACACCTGTGATTATTTGCTTGGCTGACAACATTGTTATTGCTGTTCGCTGAGGAGGAGGAGCAGCAGCAGCAGCAGCAGCAGCAGCAGCAGCAGCAGCACAAGCAGCAGAAGGAACAGCAGAAGGACATATCCCCGAGACAAGTCGCTTTATTTTCTTGTCGCCTGAATGTTTTTTTGAATGTGTCGCCCAAAGTGACATTTCACAAAAGTCGACAGCGCGAAATTAATGGAAATTTAAGAAATTGCATTTTTCGACACATGAGAGAGCGCGAAACGCAGTGGGAAGGCGGTGAGCGGGGGGCTGAAGGAGAATGGGCAAAATGGCAGTCTGACAATGCGGTCGAGTTCTCCCTTGTGTGTTCTCGCTCTTTGGTTCCTCAATGGGCATAATGGAGAGACAAACTGGTTAAAGTGCTGAGTGCTTAAAAATATTTTTGTGTGCCATTTCCCTCATTTTTCATGTTAAAAGTTCAACTTAAATGCCAGCATTTTTACCTTTTATTTGATGGACTTGTAATTAAATTAATTGATTTTTTGTTGGCCGCTTGCAACCAGAAAAACTTACCTGAAAAGAGAAAGAGAGGGAGAGAGAGAGAAAAGAGTGGCATGAGAAATCAGTGATATGTATTTTTTTATTCATAAATATTTTATTTTTTATTATAATAAAATGCATTCAACTCAAATACAATTAAAATTTCATCAGCTGAACAATCAAAGGCGGGGGATATAAAATATATATGTAGATATATATACATTTGTATGTACATATATAATTTAATATTTATATTTATTTTTGTTCTGTTGAGAAATTGTATTAATTTTTAATTCTGTGTGTAAATATCGCACCCTGTGGTATTGCCGGCAAATTGTTGGCGCAATTAATTTGTAGTTTACGCCCATCCCTCTGCCCCATCAACCTGCCCATACTATGGTAATTAAATTGCAACCAGCCACGCCCATGCCAAACATGGGGGCGGCCTCATGTGTCAGCAACAGCCGGACTTTTTTAAATAAAAATAAAGATTGCAAGGATTGTAAGGATTACGACAATAGAAGTATCCCTTAAAATCTTTGAATCTCAGTTTTAACTGTAAACCTTTTAGCTTTCTAAAATTAAACCGAAAAGATAAATTAATATTCCAAATATTATTTTTTTTTCTTTTATTTCTAGCAACATTCTTTTTAGAAATTTGTTTTTTTTCTTTATTTTGTCATAGTCCGATCGTGTTGAATATTGGCATATTTATTTACAGAGGTTTTATTTTATTTTTTTCTTATAAATCTAAATCTATTATGCCCAAGTTTTTATCTATCCTTACAGATGGACATTTCTATGCCGGCTCGACTACTGCTGCTGTCTGTACTTTATAGGGCGGAATAAGAGTGATTTTTTTCTGCTCCTGTTACATGAATTTCCACGAATAAATCATACCCTTTTTACTCAACAAATACCAGGATACCAGGGTACAAAGGACAGCGCAAATGGACACAGGACCCACTGCACCTGCCACACAAACACAGACACATACGCAGAAATATGTATGCATGTATATGTATATTGTTATATTATATATAGAAAATGTAAAGGGTATAGTGAAAGAAGGGTAAACAAAGGGAACTAAAAAGAGAAAGAGAGAGAGAAAGAGAGAACGTGAATTGGGGAGGTGCTGTGAAGTGTAACAGCACGAGGGCAGGGCAGGGCAGGGCATGTGAAGGTGGAAAAGCTTGTCGCAATTTTGCTCTAAGTGCACATGATAAATTAATGATTGAAGGCTCTCCACGTGGGGGCGACTGAGAGGAGAGAGTTGGAACCCGTGTGTCTAGTATGACAAAGTGATTAATTGTCAGAATGCGGCAGAGGAGGCGGGACAAGGGGCAGAGTAAAGGCTAACGAGAGAGAGAGAGAGAGAAACAGCTGTAAATGGAGCACCCGTCAAACTTATCGAACCCACGAGGCACGAGGCACGAGGACACGTGGTAATTTGTACTTCTCTTCACTCTTAGAGAACCACCCACAGTCCACTTCGCCCCTCAAAACAACCGTTTTGGTAGTGTGAAATTTCAGGCAACCTCTGACCGACCACCCTGCCCGACTTTTCCAGAAGGAGGTTCTGGTCTGAAGGACCAGAAGGACTTTTCCAAAAGTCAAAGCCGACAACGACGCTCGTTAGACATTCCATATATGAACTTTTTGACTAATTGATTGGGCAACTTTTCTGCCACAGCAAGGGATGGAGGGAGGAGCAGGGCAGACCCAGAGGTGGAGCCGGGCACACATACATATGTATGTATGTATATCCCTTAATTGCTTAACGTTTAATTGTGCTTCATGTGAAATATGAGTAGAGCTCTTTCTAGGGCTACTGAGAAAAACGATTAAGTGTGGAAATACCAAGAAAATATTACGTATACGCAGTGCAGGGAAACAAAGCCAAAACAATTTGTTAAACAACAATAAACGACGGATATAATCCTCAAATTAAATGCAATTTTCAGCTTAAAATCTGTTCTTTCTGTGAACACTTAAGGCACCGCACCGCACCGAATAATTACAGCCCATCGAAACGTAATTGCTTTTGAATATAATTTTACCCTGCAAAAAGGAAGGCAAATTATTAGAAAGTTTAGCAGCTCAGCAAACGAAAGCAGAAACCACAGCCCGAAAACCCAAAAAACCAAAAATTAACACTAACTGACAGTGACAGTGACAGGGACAGTAACAATGTGTAAACAGTTGTTACATGCAAATGCCCCGCACAACTGTGCAACAAAATGCAACTTTGACAGCAACAAACAGAACCAGAAACAGAAACAGGAACAGCAACAGCAAATTGTGAAAATGGCAACCGAAATGGAAGCTACAACAAAAGTTTGTGATTTAGCTACCCAAGAATAAAATCAAAGTGCAAAACAAAAAGTTTTAGGCCAAAAACTTGAATACCCTTTTGGCCACATTTTCAACTCTGCAAGGAATTTATTAAACGCCCGAATGCTCATAGTCCACTTTTATGGAAATGCAAAAATCGAAGGGTGAATCAAAACCACTTAAGAGATTTCTACAAATATTATATATAGAGGTAGGTCTATTGGTTAAGGCTGATTAAGGAAATCCATTCCTAAATTTTAAGGCATTTTAGATAAATACACATTGGCCTTGAAATAACAGTCAATAATCCAGATAGTTGTTCCATGCTGTTCAGCATTCCCCCAGCCTCTCATCACTCAAAAATTATACAAAACATTGGGTGCCCGTGATCTCAATGCTGATAGGAATCAGCAAAACTCGCTTGCAAATGAAAATGTAAACAATCAACAGTTAAGAAGAAAGCAAGGAGAAGAGAAGAAGGGGGCAGAAAAATGCACGCGATATGCACGGACATGTCGCGGCTCACGAGCGAAATATTCTACAAAATATGAGAGCCTAGGATCGCGCTATCTCGTTCTGCCCTGCAGAGCTTATGCGCAAAGTCGCGCTCTCTCGAGATAAGCGCGCTCTGCTTGGGTTTCGGTTTCACTGAGCGGCTCACCTACGCTGCCCTCCCACAGTATGTGTGCATGTGTGTGTGTGTGCATAAATTCTGAAAGACAAAGCTGTTGTTGCATTTTACATTGGCTTCTGTCGATCGTCTGATCTGCAGGCAGAAAGCAAAAGCAACAACAAAAAGTCAGCAATTGTTTTGTTTTGCTCTCTCGTTGTCTTTACTGGAGCCTCGAATCAAGTGGAGCGAGGGATCTGGGATATAACGGAGTAAGGACAGCAAGTGCTGCGGAGAGAAGCGTGTACAGAGGGCTACTCTCGGGTGTTGTTATGTGATGTTTTGCGTAAGAGAGATGATTGAGGGAATGTTTGGAAATACGTATACAAAATCGATTCAGTTTTCACCAAAAATTATACTATTTCCTGATATTTCCTCCCAGGTATGGGGAGCCCTGTACATGGAAATGTAAGCAAACTATAAATCTTTGAAAGCAGCTTATTTCTAGCATCCGATTGCTGGCGTCTGAGGTCTGGCCGAGAGATATCCTCATAAAATATTTAAAATTCATTTCCAAGTAATTTAATTTTTGTATGCATGAAATTCTTGTTTGTTTTAATTTAAAGTCTGATAAACAATACAGTTGTTTTTATTGAAGCTTTTTGTGGTGGATAAAAACAGGATAAAGAGAGGGGCGGCGGTGCGGGGGAGAGGAATCCTAGCTAATATGCAAATATTTGCTTTAACCTGCGGACAGAACGGAAGAGAAAGAGGGAGAGATGCAGAAGACAAAAAAATGCAATAGAGAACAGAAAAAAAATCCAGGAAAAACAAGGAATAATAACGGCAAGGATATGCATACATGCACACATATGTAGACGTATGCATATGTGTGTGTGTGCAATACAAAACTCTCTTTTAGAGCTGCTACTGCGCTACTGCTGTCCCTGTCCCCCTGCTCGCCCCACACTTTGTGGCATAACCATAACAAGAAAAAACATCGTCAGGCGATTGTCCTTTGGCCATGGCTCTATGCATCCCCGAGAGTCCTTCCCCACCCGTTCCCATACCCCTTTTGTGGCATGTCAATCCACGCTCCCCTGCCCTGCCCTGCCCTACCACTGGCTGCTCCTCCCTTTCACAGTTAACGGTATTTGCATGTAATTAAATTTTCCACTCGACAAATGCAAACTGCAGCTGCTTTTCCTTCTATTTGCAGAAGGGGGGCGACGAGTACTACTCTATGCGCCACAGAATGGGGCATTGTTGCCCTCACTGTGTTCGTCTTCGCCGTTGCTGCTGCCTCTGCCTCTGCTTCGGTGCCTGTTCCCTTTTTCTTTTTTTTTTGGTCAATCATTCGCCGTGTGGCAGGTGGCAGGTCCCTCGGCACATCAGCATTGGTTCGAAAAGTTGTTCATTAAGTTTGTAATTGCCACAAAATGATGCCAAATTAATGGGGGCGAAAGAGTAGAGGAAAAGGTGGGAGTGGGCGGCTGGGACTAGAAAGATGAAAGAGCTGCAAAGAGAATCAATAGTGCCATAGTTTCATTTGCTGTCATGTTACTGGCTGGTACTGGTCCCTAAATTGCCGAATTTCTTGCTTCAAATGATACGAGAGAACCTAAATCGACTCGAAAAGCGTACCCTGAGCGTACCTCAGCCAGCCTTTTTTACATTTTGCATTAGCCTTTGACCCTCTCATTTGTGTGCGTGTGTGTGTGGAGGGCAAATACAATTTTCAATTATCGTATCGAGAGATCTCTCTATATCTCTCTGTCTCTCTCTGTGCAATTTCCACCCACGGAAAAACACAACACAAATGCAAATCAATTTCAGGAGCAAAGCAATCAACTCGAAATAGAGAGAATGAGTACGAAAATGGAAGGAAAACCACCAAAACAATGACAGAGAAAAACAGGCAATAAAAATAAGCCAAAAATATAAACAACAATTGGTAACCGCAAAAAAAAGCAGAAACACACACGCAAGCAGAAGAAGAGCATGTGGCAGCCACAAAAGCAGCGGCAGCGGCAAACGCAGTGGCAGTGGCAGGGGGCGAGGGAGTGGCACCAGGCAGGATTGAAGCACCGTCAACATTTGGCCATTTTGGCGAATGAACTTTTTATGAGGCCAAAAGGAAAACGAGGCCAAAAATGAAGCGCACCAGCAGCAGCAGCAGAAAGCTAATCTAAGCTAAACAATTTTCCTTACTTCTCTTGGCCAGCAATTTAATGCTGCCTCAGCAAGAGAGAGAAAGAGAGAGAGAGAGCGCGGGACAGGAGGGGCACTTGGGGCAGTGAATCGAAATCAATTCCCAGCTAAAATCAAACGAAAAGAAAAATTTTCTATTCAACCAAATTGTTGCAAGCGCATAATAAAAGCCCCAACGAGGGGGTGGCAGGCAGAAATAAAGAACATCAATAATATTGTACGTGTATTCAACGAAAATACGAAAAAGAAATACTCTGCTGAAAAAAACGATGAAAAGGGAAAATACTCCAAAAATAATGCAAAATAATTGAATTTAATTAAAAGTATCTAAAAATAGTTCACACAAAAATTTCTGTTTGATAGAAATGCAAAGAAAATAAATTATTAAAATATACAAAAAATTATCAATTATTAAAAAATAAAAAAATATCAATTATTAAAGAATAAAAATATATCAATTTAAAAAAAAAGACAACCTCCATGGAAAATTTTGGTTGATAGATGAAATTATTCTCTAACAAATGAAGCAAACATGGTTCAATCATTCTCAAAATGTCACGCCATAAAAGTTTTCACATGCAAATTTTATCAAATTAAAAAATTTTTTTAAGAAAAACAATTTTGTTTCCATAACTTTTAAAAAAATTGTTGTTTTTAGTTTTCTTCCCTTTTCTCCCCAAGAAAATCAAAGTACTCGAAATCCTAAAAGAGTATGCCAGAATTGATGGTGGTCTCTTATGGGGGAGGGCCCCTTTATTTTTCTGCGAGTGGCAAGCAGGGGCAGCAC